GTTTTACTGATGCATTTACTTACTCTACAGATATTACATACATAAGCCCTCCTTTTTCCTTGTGGTGAGAGGACTAGAGGAGGATTTTGTAAAGTAATTTTAATAGTTTGAGCACTTCATAATTGTACTATAAACTCACCAAGCAAAAATTATGCATACATGTTTAAAATACAGGAGAATTCTAGACAGAGAAGAAAATTTAAAACTTCCAGTCATGCAGCTCTTACACTGCTCTATCAGCGTGTTGTGGCCAATCGTTTATATGATGTGAAAGAAGAGAAATAATAGTAACTTCACAGAAAAGTCCATGACTCCAACTACAGACTTCAAATGGAACTGCTACTTTAGAGTATTTCTTTAGAGCAAAGTATCTTTTCTTTTTCTTTTTTTTTTTTTTTAAATAGAAATACAAACAAGGAAACTTAATTCATACAACAGAAACTGTTTTGGTCCCTTCCTCCAAATATGCTTAATGAAATTATATCTTTTTCCAGAAACAGCTTCAGGAATGGAAAAAGAATTGCTAAAATCTTTGCAAGCAGACTTTCCAAGCACACGCACTAAAATCTGGTATATATGTAACAACGCTGTCACAAACGGCTGTCTTTTCTGGGGGAGGAAAATACTCAAATACCTTTGTTTCCCCTCTAAAATTCTTAAGATAAATTATTTTCCCAAGATATGTATAGTTCCAGAAATATAGCTAAATCATTTAGTAACATTTAACTTTTAAAGTCAACTGTAACTTAGTTAAGACCATTCATCTGAATTTTTTATACATCCAAAGTTAGTTTTAAAAGAAACTATATTTTTTTGCAAATCCAGTTAATACAAAGGTAAATTAATCAAATGGAAACTCATTGAGCCACACTTCATACTAACCAGCTGTAAATTCACTTACTATTCTAGTCACATAAGTCTTCTGAACTTAACATCCCAGCATTGTGGTATTAGAAAAATATGCCGACGCTAACGTACAGAAATATCCATGAACCTCAAATTATTGTACTATAATGCTGTCAAATAAACAGACTAGTGGAATTCAATTTCCAGAAAGCCAAGGCAAAGTCTACTGGCCTTTATCCAAAATCCAGTGTCATTTTCAAGCCCTGTATTTAATTAATACTATTTACTGTCAAGAGCTGAGCCGGGTAAATATTTCACCCTTCCCAATTCAGGGGCTAAAGGCAGGCCCAGAGGAAAATTGGCCCAAGTAAATGCATCTCATCTTCTTTGATGATGCAAGTGCTCAGCTGTCCTGTTCTTGACCTCTCTAGAATTCCCAGGCTCCAATACTGGTGGTACATTGTCATCAATCTATATTTAAAATATATATTGATTTTCCACAGATGATAATGACAGCTATTCCTTCTGCAAATGCGTATATGCTATACCTTTGCCCACATAAAAAGGTAGCTATCAAGGTAAGAAATGAAAAACTCTTACCAAGGCCCCATTACTAAGTCAAAACCAATATTTAAGAATATGAATAAAATGAGGTTAGCAATCTCATTTCCTAAATATTTTTAACATTTGAATTTGAGTGAGATAAAAAAGAATCTTCCCAGATATAGCTACATACAAAAGGGAAATTTCAATCAGGTGAATGACAGAGTTTTTAACAGTCCTAGATACATATGAAGTTCAGTTTCACCAATTCAGTAAAAAGTTCTTTGACAAAGAACTCCTTTTAAATCAATATACAGTAATTAATGAGTTTTAAGTATTTAAGGGTGGTATTCTCAGGACTTAAAACAAATTTGAATGTTGCTTCCTTAAAATTATTAAAATATTTTAAATATGCTTTATTAACAAGTTATTTATGCTAGCTGCAACCATGATGAGATTCTCTCTACGATACTCTCTCTTTTCATTAATTTTAAAGGAAATGCAGTATTACATTTGTGTAAATTTCACTTTCTCCACAAAATAAAAAATGATTTCCATAAACTTCCATTCCCCATACTAGAAACAAATCTATGGGATATAATTGTAAAAATCCTAATAGATGCTCATTTCTCAATACTTCTGTTGAAAGTTCTCATCGTACCACCCGCACAGAACTTCACGTGTGGATTAGGAGTATCATTTTAACCCTGACTGTATAAAATTCACCGTAATCAAGCGTCTACTTGTACAGGTAGCTTTATAGGCAATTCATGTTCACTAATTTCATTACTAAATGAACTACTGAACACAGAAAATTGTGATCATATTTCAAGCAAGAAGAAAAAGAACAACACTCCTCAGTTTCGATGCTGAACGTAGGAATACGTGCATGTAGGAACGTGAACACATTCTCTCCATTTAGCACAAACCAATTCAAATTAGGCTGAAAACTCCTCATAGATTCCTCTTCAAATGGTAAGACACAGTCAACAAAAGATTCTCCATATCTATGATGGACAACAATGTTTTATTTCAGGCATTTCAGACCTATCACTCCCCTGGCAATTCAGGTGTTCTTGACTAGCTGCAGAATTCCAGGAATTTTGACAGAAGTGACATCTCTCGCGTATCTATATTTGATGCTTGAAACCTGCTGCACTCTTTCCTCACTTGAAGCTTTAAACTAATGCTGAGGACTCTTAAAACTTATTTCAAAATAAGGCAACCTTACTTTCAGTATAACCTGTTACTTTCTGACAGCATTCCCTTTACATTTGCATGTATTAGGAGGGTACCGTCAACTTAAAAATGAAGACACCTGCCAGAATCCTTTTTATCTGCTACTGCTGTAAACAACAATAAAGAGTACTATAACTCATAAAAATAGAGAGAGACAAATATTTTCCATGCATCACACTTGACACTAACTATGACACAAACGCCAAGGAAATCACTGCAAAGCTGGATTGAAATGGACCCTCAAGGCTGCGGGTGACAGAGAACTGAGATTTCTCTAATCTACGTTCCCTTTTCCTGAACAACCGTTTCATGCAAAAAGAAAAGGAGGAAGAAAAGAAAAACTTTCTCCAATTGAAAGTTTTTAGACCGGGAGAAAAAGTTAGTATTTTTGTCTTTAAAAAAAAGAAAAGTTAAAATGTAAACTTCCCACAAGCTCTAATCGCACGCCTTTTTAATAGCGTGCGGGAGCTACTTCAGAACGCCCCCGTTACCAAAGTTGCAAGCAAACAGCCGCAATTTCTATCGCTTAAATTATTTCTGATCGGCTTATTTACAGGTATTCTAAAGCCTTTTAACCAGTCCAAGATTCAAGCTCTTACATGCCATATTGTCTTCAAAATAGTTCAAGTATTAAACAGGAGTCTCACTGTTTGCAAAGCTGAACGCAGCAGTGGATAGGCTGAATGCATACGACTCATGATAGGTAATCACGGTATGGCATCACTTAAAACATACAGTCAAATTCAAAATCTGTACCACAGGAAATCCCCCTTGCAGTCAAGGCCTGGGCCCAGAACTTCTTAAATGGAATTCCAACTGATATATCCTCTACTCCTTCAGACACCAGTAAAATTTCACATTTGTATGCTGGTTCACAGAAACCTGACTGCCGCTCTCTGATACTGCGCTGGAGAACGTGAGCACCCGAGCACGTTGAACAACAGGGTTGAAAACCTAGCACTTCCAAAGTTAATGGAAGAAATCCCAAGTATTCAAAGGGACCAAGATTTGATGCTATTTCATGCAGCTCCCTGCTACTGAACAACCATATGAACCTCGGATAACCGTCCCCTCCACTTAAACGATCATAAACACAGCATACTATTGAGAAGACCTGCATGCACACATTATGACCATTATGCAGCCCAAATAAATACATAGTATAAATAAATAATGAGATTTGTCTATGGGGTACAGTATTTTCAAGTTAATATAACATATGAACAAATACTTAACCAATACTATAACCTTTATTGAATGCAATGAACTACAAATTATTTCATCAAATAGCCATGGAAAAAGGCAAAAAAGCAGCACTGAAAAGCTTCTTAATCACTGCTTTCACTCACTGGAGCCAGAAAACTCAGTAAGTTTAAAGTATTGCTAGCTGACAAAAATTGCTCAATCTAATTAACAAAAGAGGAAATGATACTTGATGTGGACTTACATAATATTACCCATAAACGGTCAACATTGTATAAACAACTGTGCCTAAGACAACTAAAAACCTTCCTAGCTGGCTCATTCCCCACCTCTATATTTAGTGTGCAAGCCTCAAAAATACATATTTCTGACCTTAATAAGTCACTCGACATGTTGAAAGGCAACATCTATTCATGAGTAGCCTGAAAAGGTTCTCACATAAAATCTCAAACACATATTTGTGAAAGATGTATATAGAGCAAGTATATTGCTATATTAAACATACCTAAAATAAAAACACAGCAGTTATATTCTACTTTCCATCACTGCACTACCAGACTATTATTAGTCTGCATTTAAACAATCTGCAGGGGTCCCTTTTTCTATATCTCTGTGGTATTAACCCTTTTTGTGAATAGATGTAAGCAGGCATAGCGCTGCCTGATGGACTCACCAGGTGCTAACTCTCGAGCAACAAGTAGTTTAAGTCATCAATGTCATTACATCTATTTCAGCCCTCAATTTAAGTAATTTATTTGAGCAGACAGTTGGGTGGAAAAGCTTTCCACTCTTTCATACACAACGTTTGCTACAAGACAGACCATAATTAGCACATTTGAAAAACGTCAATTCCGTAGCATAAGGTATCAAACAGACTTGACATGAAAGACCACCAGACGTTGAGCACCTGCAGCTCCTCTCAGCACAGAGGCCCATTCCTGGTCCTGGCACAAAGCAAGGTCCCTGCTTCCATGACCGGCCTGGCCACCATTTGGAAAGTCTCTGAAACGTTCTGTCCACTCACTGGAGAATCATCTATTACTTAAAACCAAGGTTTGTTGTGCTGTTTCCATGCAATCAATTTGAAGCGTCTCCCATCAAGTTCCTCGGTGAAGGAGATAAAACCGCAGCACGGTACAGTTATATGTAATAGCGTATAAATAACTCACCAAGGCTCTGTGAGGCGCGGGAAGAGAGTCCTACAGGTTGCGCGTGTGTTGGGCTTCAGTGCTCAGACACATCTCAGGCGTGCTGTGAACAAAAGTGAGAGAAAGATTAGGCTTTTTTGCAGATGGGCATATATTAAAAAAAAAAAAAAAAGCTATGATACTTGGCACGTCTCAGTTTTAAGCGTAACATAATGAAGGAAGCATTATAAACTTGGCTGAGCAGTATCTGCTTTTCCAGAGGTAACTGTAACCTGTTTCCAGTTGCACAATCACTCCAGGCACCCAACTTCCTCTTTACCTGCTGCCTACTGCACATTCACAGTGACAGCAACCGAGAGGTTTCAATTAATTTATATGGCCTGTACTCTTTATTTTCACAGAAGAGCCTGTGGGAACTCTCCGTGAAAGTTGTTGCTTCCTTTTTTGGTTGACTGCTTGGTTGGTTGACTTTATAACATGTTAGTTTCAGATCTCTAAAAAAGAGAAACGTATTTTTATCAAGCGCCTATTAACCATTATTAAAAGTTGCAAGCATGGAAGTATGCTTCTCCTCTAAAACTCCACTTTCAACACTTCTGACACGAACGACGCGCAATGGGCAAACAAATAAAAAGCTCTTCCTTAGTACAGAACCTAAGATTCGAGAAGCAGACATACATATCTGTACCACATACATCTCTTCAGGGAAGAGGAACTGGAGGGCTAACATTAGCATACGCTAGCCGCATAAATATTACGCACAGATTTTTATTTGTGGGCCAAACAGGATTTTCTATCAAATATATCTAAGCAAACAACCAAAGGAGAGTTTTCTAACTTCTCATTCTACAGACAAAAAAAGCCAGAACATAAAGAAAATGGAAGATACGCTACAGGAGTGACCAATGGAAATAAAAAAAACGAGTAAGGATTAATTATGGCTCAAGAAAAAATGGAATTTCGAAACCACTACGGTCTTTCTGTCCGTTCTACCATCTTGCATAAAACTTCTGCAAACTTGCTTAAGTTTCTTCAGGCCACAGACAGGCTGTCACTACAGCAACAGGCGATTCAGAGATGCCCCTAACACTGAAGTACCGGCAAGCCAGACAGCACTCGCGCGAAGCCCATACACAGAAGACGTTATCCCCTCAGGAACGCTGGAAAGGTTCACCAGTTTTACAGCTCACGAGCACGGGACTCCGAGGGGGTCCTCATTCCGGTAAACCACAAGCTTGTCGTGGATTAAAATTTAACATACTAGATCACCTGGCAAATTAGCAA